TTCAGCCAACAAATATTTTGAAAAATTAATATTTTAAAAACTTCGTATGACAAATTTAAATACAGTTTTTTAATCCCATTAAACAAACTGAGCAGATGCAATATTGAGCTTGCAATCATCTTGATTTAGCGTTACATAATTATAACAGGCTACTCTCGATGTTTCGATCGATTATTCACAGGGGAATGTATAATCAAGGTATTTAACGTGGTTGCATGGAAACTTTTATTTTTTCACATGCATTCTCACTCCACTTGGTCAAGTAAAAAATTTTTCCACTGGCTTGCTAGTTAATAAAGCTATTAATAAGTATCAGCTTATTTTTTAACAATTTTACATTTTTTATTAATTAATCGTGAAACTGATTTAAAAAATGATCACAATATACTATGAGGCATAATCAAATTTTTTTTTCCTATTGCATAAAAATTGATATCCCAACGAGATACAAAAATAGAATGGCATACATAAAATATAAGACTATATTAATTTTTTATAATTTTTAATTTCGTTTGATTAAAAAATGTGTTGAGTAGATTATTAAATAATGTAAAATGGACTTTAACTTTAACTATTTCGGTTACATCGACCACTGTCGTTGATACCGTAGAAAAAGGGGAAAAAATTAACTATTACAGTTACTTTTTAAAAAACTTTACTTGTACCGTACAGAATAAAATTCTAGGGTTACAATAAATGATAATAATGGTTGTAAAATAATAAATTATCGTAATTAACATAAAAATAATAAGTAGTATTCACAAAAGCGTAAGTATAACCAAAGCAGGTTATGAAATAAGATGCACAATATTATGCAAAAAAGCCCTTTGATCATAGTATTAAACTCGATCAACACAAGAAAACACACCACACCGAATTAACAGCTGATTGAAGTATAAAAAGCTCGTAAGTACGAGAAAGAAGTCGAATGCACCTCAAAAATCCCCCCAAACTTCGAAAATAACAACAACATGCACCACCCGGTGATCGAACCCACGTAACTCACATCAGCCGCGCGCAATCATAAGCGGCAATCCATATGTCGCTCGCAGGCCCAGCCTTCACCTTGCACCCGATAAACCCCCCCCCTTGAAAAACTGGAACATCCCACTCAACACCGTTCAAACACCCTCTTACCCCCCCTTTAGCCCTACTTAACATAATTGCGCATACAGGTTGTAAAAATAATAATTTTTTCTTCACCCTCGAAGGAAGCTCACCCCTTTCCGCAAAAAAAGACGTCCTTCTCCCATCCGAGCCGATGGAAAAAAGCTCCCCGCAAGCTCCACCAGCCGCCGTTGTTGTCGTCGACGCCAGAGAGGCAAATCAATAATTCTCGCGCGTGCAGTCGATCGGAGCGCACTCCTATTACCCCTTTTGAGTACACGTGTGCAATATTTTCTCACATTTAATTACAAGGGCTACATACGTGGGTAGACGCGCGCGACAGGCGGGCTTAAACGCGAGAAGGAAAAAAAAAAAAAAAAAGAAAAGTAAATAAACCAACTTACACATGCACAAGGGAAAAACAAAAGTGGAGTACTGGAGCAAGGCGTCGATGTTTGCAGGGTAGGTGGGGTGTGTCGTTAAGGGAGGCGATGCTTCTCGGCGTGCTTGAGAGCCTCGACTGAGGGACTGCGGAGGGTATACGCTACTCCCGCCCTCGAGCGACCCCCTTTTTCACCGTTACGCTGTGGGTTTATTCATGCGCTCTTGATACACTTTTTTCCTTCCTTCATAAAGCTGAGCCATTTTTTTTTCGCTACTACGAATTATTACGTTTTACTTTTTTTTTTTTTTTTTTTTCGTGCAATATTGCTTTTGAACTTGGAAAGGATTGGGGATCCACTGTCGATGCGCAGGAGCTTTTTGCCACTTTTGAGCATGCGAGGGAAGAGGAAAATTAAATTACGCTTTTTTTTTTTAATTCCATTACGTTTCATCCGCATTTAACATTCAATAGTTATAAAACTTTTTTTTACTTATTAAAAAAAAAAAAAAAAAAAAAAAAAAATACTTATACGTAGACTGGCACGAGTCGTAGAGTAAAGTTCCTCAACTGCGGTCCTAATTGCACGTAAATGTCCTTATCGGGGAGAATCAGGAGCGACAAGGCGAAAGTTAGTTCGATCGGGCGTCGAGCACACGAGGCAGGGACTCGAATACAACTTTCGAGTAGTCATAGAAACGTCGGCGTTCAAATTGAATGCGTGCAAACCTAATGTGCCCACTTACTCCCTTTACCAACCAATTGTCCCCTCTTTGAACTTCAGTTCAGTCTCAGTTTGCGCACACGTTGACAAGACTTTATTGTTTTACAAATATATAGTGAACCTTCGAACTTTTTTTTTTTTTTATTATTTGTTTTTTTAAGTTTTTAGATATTTGGTGTTTTAAAGCGATTTCTAAAAAGAAGCGATAGACATTTGGTTTTAACGATGGATCGAAAGGTGCAGAGAGTCGCGATCGGAGAGGGAGCTTTCCACAATCCGCCGAAAGCTGCTTACAGCGAGGAAACGAAGAATTTGATCAAACGCAAGTATTTATAACCTTACCGATTTTTTTTCTCTACACGCTGTTCAGAAATTTTTTTATGTTACCGATTTTTTTTTTTTTTTTTTACTTGTTTCGAGATACAAATTGGTCCTTTTTTTTTGCAAAAAAGCTCATTTAGTTATTTCATTCATATACTATTATAGTGTTGATGGAAGAATCAAAACTGTCGATGATGCAAAGGAAAACGATTCAAGACGCGGTTAACAGAGGCGATTCTTTGCCATCTACCACGCCAATAGCCAAGAAAGAAAAGGAGCAATCGGATAACGTACAAGTACCGTTAATAACGATGTTTCCATATGTTTGATTGTTTTTTTTTTGCATACGTATAGTATATCTGTGAAGTTAAAAAAAAAAAAAAAAAAACAATTTTACGCATAATGTTTCATAGGTCCAATATCCTTCTGTTTGGAAGAGACGATCTAAGGACATGATTTTAAGCAGCGGAGCTTACGAAAGGGAACAATATCGGCGTACATCGCCTCTACGTAAGGATATCGCACGTTTTGTTAAAGCAATTCTTTTTGTATAACACACAGTTATTGTATGAATATATATATATATATATCGTCTGAAATCGTTATAAGAAAAACAAAGTCACGCTTTGTACTTACATTTATTAAAGCTAACAAAGAAAAGCAAAAGAGACACTTGGCCTGCATAATGGCTTATGGCAAAGAAATGCCGCCCACACCCCGGGAGACACCGGCACTGCTCAGACCCAAGAAACTTTTTCCACTTCCGGACGACGAGGATCCTTTCAAGGATCGTAAGTACAGCATTTTAATCGCACGAGTAACTCGTCAACGAAAAAATCAATCCCGTGAAAAAATGATACCTCCTCCCCAAATGCAGTCGTCCAAGGCATCCGTGAGAGAATCGAGTTTCTGCACGACATGGAATGCCTGGGTCTCGGTAAAAGGTACAGGCCCATCATACACCAGGAGATCGCCCAGAAGATACGGCTGATCGAGTCGATAGACAAGAGCAGGACGTCGGAGATTAACAACGAAATCGAGAAGTTTAAAGTCGAACGACCACCACCCAAGCCCTTTCCTCTTGGCGAACTGGATGATAATTATTAGGTTTGATTATACCTTAGGTGTGACTCACTCAATTTTTTTTTTTTTTTTTTTTTCACCAAAAGAAGTGTGATTTTGTTTGGACAGGGGATGAATAAATCAAATTCGGCGATGGGTATTTTCAGTTATTAATATTGGGGGATTCTTTTGGGACGAGAATAAATTTTATCATGTGTATCGTGTAAGTACTCGTATAATTTTAAAATGCCCAAATTTATCAATGGAAAGTTTTGAAGTTACTTATTGAGTTCACTGAGTACACGTATACAAGTTTTTAATAAATTTTATGTATTTTACCTTATGCGCACTCAATATTTTCAAATTATTGTAAGTATTTTGCTAGAAAGTCTGTCCTCGATTTAAACGAGACTAAAAATTTATTATTGTTTTAGAAAACAATGATTTTGGTATTTTACAATTATACACGCGTAAAAAAAAATACGAAAATTTTGTTTTTCAATTAACGTGATGTACCAAAGTTCTCTGATTTCCTGCAGTATGTTAATCATTAAATGCATTCAGTAATTTATTTAAATGATAAAAAAAAAACAAAAAAAATTTTTGTCAGAAGTGGGATTCGAACCCACGCCCTCATTGAGGACCAGAATTCCCAGTTCCACTCGATACAAGCTCGAGAAGGTTATTAGCCTTGAGTCTGGCGCCTTAGACCACTCGGCCATCCTGACAGATATCTATAGCCTCAAACTAACGAGTAATAGCGAACGAGTAATTTACTCACAAACTGTGTATAATATAGAGCACGAGCGATCGGATTAATCAAACAATTACCATCGAAAAACAATTTTTAACTGTTGAATCGTAAAAGATTTGGTAAAAAAACTGTTTTTTTTGTCGATGGATCGGGTAAAAATATATTTCAAGCGATTTTCTTTTTCTTTAACAAATGCACGTCAGTAGTAAATTGATTATTTTCATCAATTTATAGAAATTGTTCACACAAACTGGTTGTACTCAAAGTATTAATAGCGATGCATCGAAAGTTGAGTGTCAATAAAATTGTTTCAATAAATCAAGTAAAAATCCCCGTATTGGCCAAATTACAGTCTAAGCTACTTTGGTAAAAATAAAAAAATTCTCTGATCCCAGTATCACGTGTTTTTTTTACATTAAAAATTAAAAAAAAAAAAAAAGTCTTCTTACATTTAACAAGCATATAGTTACCAAACGTTGTTCAGCAAGTATCCTATACTACCCAACTCTGCCGCAGAGAGAGAGCGCGGCCACATTTGAAAAAAAATTCCCCGCAGCACCGACAACTATATTATAATTATACCCTCGTACTGATTGCAAATTTTAACCCCCGTTTTCAATTGATGTATATCCATGAAAAGTATGTACGCTTACGTAATAAACCAAGTGCGAAACGTGTAAAAATGTGTCAATAACCAATGTAAAAAAAAAAGTGAAAAATCGGAGTAAAAAAAAAAAAAAATTGTATGAAAATCAAAGAGCATATATATTATCCACGGGGCCATAAACTGAGCCATAAAACGCCTACACGTATCTGTACAATGCCCCTTGTTGCAGTGCATAAGTTGGTACCTTTCCGACCTAACGGCTCGGCAGACAAGCCAGCGATGGCAAAAGAAAGAACGAAAAAGCCAAGTAGAGAGAGTAGAGTGGAGCCGTCACATGTACTTTAACGCGCACATGCACCGCGATATGTTTTTTCAGAGGTCTCGCGTTCCCCTCCTTTATACACTTAGGTTAGTCGTCGCGCGGCGATGTCGCTGTAACGTGCGGTGCACATTATTGCAACTCCACACGATATCTTTCCGCACATAATACATGTATACACGGAGCAGTGCTCCGGAATATAATTATATAGCTGCACGTGCATCGGTGCTTTGTAACTTGCAAAACTCACCCCTTTTGCCGATTTTTTTTCAAATTTCACCCGTTGGGGATTTTTCACCGCAACAGCACGACTCGATTGTCATATCTTTTTTTTTTTTTTTTCATAGTGACTCCTTCAAAGTTTATATAAAAAAAAAAAAATTTAAATAACTTTGATTTCTTGGAGCAGTGTACAAGTGTATTAAAAAAAAAATCGGGCATAAATGTACAGCTGTACGGGCTGCGTGTGACGCACCGATCGTCTACCGGATAGCAGCGGTGTGCAGAGGTATCATTGCAAGGAGCATCGGGAGAAGGTCGTAAAAGTAAAAAATAAAATTAGAAAAAAAAGGATAAGCGCCAAAAGGAGAGGAAGGAAGGGAATGTATCCCGGATGATCTGCTGGTGATCCAACATGGCGTCGACCGACCTGTCGTTCGGTAAATACATATATTGTGGCCTCCGTGTAAAAGTATACATGCGCATATATACGTGTGGAAGGAAGGGTCTTGCGGGATACATAATATTTGTGCTTCTGTCCATGTACCTGTAAACGTCCTTATGATGGGTACGGTTGGGATGTTGTTGACACCTGTCGCCGATCAGCCGATTTTTTTTTTCATCCGATCCCCCTTTTGTCGGTCGTTTGTCCAATACAATACTTACCGATTGCTACCGATTTTCCCAACATCTTCGGGGGAGATTTATTATCTTTGGAATGAAAATACATGCCACTGCTCTGTATTTTTTTTTTTTTAAATATACTGCGTTATAAATAAATATGACTGTATACGTGCACGCAGATATTTATGTATATGTTTTTGCCTTATCGCCAGCGCTGGGGGGCGTTTTTTGTTTTCAATGTACTCACTGGGGAAATTTTAAGTTTTTTTTTTTTCTTTTCTCATAGCACTGCCCTTTACCATATGCGATTGGGTTGTCATGGTTTAACGAGCCGTAGCAATCTCATATTTTTGAATTAGGTAAAAGGTGACGGTAAACAACGACCTGTCAAAATATTCAACGATATGACAACAATGTCGCAACAGATGAACCCGCATATACTGCACCCGTGTGAGTATCGTCGTTTGTACAAAAAACTCTTTTTATCGCCCGATNTCTATTGATTATAGTAAGGTAATATTTATAATTCAAGCAAGTAAATATTATTAGTTTTTTTTTTTTTACTTCAATACTCAAAAAACCCTCCTTTCTATGCTGTTGTCAGATTCCATTGATCGATTTTTCTCAACTCGCGCTTATATAAGTATGGGAGAAAGTATTCGCACTTGTGCTCGCTTCCTGTACGTTGTTGCGGTAAAACGTGACACCTTCAAAAAGTCATCGATAAAAGCACCGCATTCAAGTTCAATCGGCCGGAAAATCTATTGTGATCATTTTTCACTAGGGGTGAGAAAATTCAGAAATTGTTCTCAAACGTGGCTTTGAGTAGTTTACAAATTACTATTTATTCTAATTAAAAAAATTAATGTTCGTTGATAAAAGTATTTCCCATACTCATAAAATTATTTTTTCCAAAACGTTTTTTTTTTAAATATTAATTTCGCGGGATAAAGTATTTTTTTCCAATTAAATTAAATTTTTTCAATTAATGAAAATACCAAACCGAGGGTAAATAAATATATATTTTTTTTTTGTTTCAAAGAAACCGAGCTTTAAGTGATAAAAATATAAGACTCTTCATTTAATATTCATAAGTATAATCGATTAAAAATTGCCCATCACACTTCCACGGGGTAAAACCGCTATGTTATTTCGACACGATGAAAATTGTACCGAAATTCGACAGTACAAAATATAATACATTAAAATTAGCGGATCATACACTTGTAGCCCCTCTGCCGAAAACAAAGTCGCGACCAAGTGTCATCCCATAATCAAACCGAGCCCACATCCTTCTCCCCTACATGATATATCCGCCGACGAAAATACACTCGCCCGCGTCTCTGTCGCCAGTCGCAGCTCCTCATCATCATCATCTTTCAAAGCGCTATTATATACACACACACGCACTGACCATATGTTGAACGCATTATCCGTAACAAGTAGTGGTAAACCCTATCCACATGTGTAGGTATACATAACGAACATTACGCGAGCGGATATTGTCCATCTTCCGTAACGATCGTGGAGGCTCTCTCTCTCTCTCTCCCTTTTTCGTGCAGTTGACTCCGAAAAATCGCATGCCAATATATACCGCGTAGATGTTACAGCGAGTGCAAGAAACCCTGAGTTTTATCGTTTTATGCTACTGTATAGATAGGTCTTGTAGGTACTGCCTACGTGTACACTTTTGTATCGATTTGGCTCTATGGCATTGCGGATTTCGCACAGGTTCAAGAAGTTTGTTCAAAGTTGTGTGTCGAGTAGGTAAAGCGTGGTTATTTATAATTAATTTCAGGCCAGCTCAAGTGGCCTGATTCATGAGGTGGGAGTTAACGCGTTGCGTATAGTAAAATCAATAAAAAAAAAAGAAAAAGTTTTTCAACAGGTGGAAGAAATTTTTTTTCTTTTCTTAAGTGAGTATTGTACTAAAAAAAAATTTGCGACGTAACAATAATCGTTAGACACCTGTAACGAGCTTTCGTGTGCTGTGAAAAAAACCTTTTCGTTTCGTTACATACACGTTGGCAAGTCATTTGTTACGCTTAAATTATGTGTTCCTGCAATTTCGTAACAGTAAAAAAAAAATTCCAATGTATTACATCATTATTTTCTTTGCTATAAAATAGATTTGAGTACCAGTGGTACTTTTATGATTTTTGTTGAAAGTGTAATGCATTATTTTGTCATATAAAATTTTTTCCAGCAAAAACAATCCATTACAATTTTACAGAAAAAGGCAATGGAAACAAAAAAAATGTCAATCAACGTAATTAAAAAAATATTTAAATATTATACTTATTTTAGAAAATTTTTTGCACTTACCTGACAGAAACAAATTTTTCTAATATTTTATTGAGAATAGTGGTGGATTAACAACTTTTTCAATCAAAAGAATAAACTTTGTTAAAGAAAATGAACTACATATATATATTTTTTTTAATACAAAGGATCTCTACGAATTTTTTTCTTTTTCAAGGATAATTTTTTAGACCCAAAGGATTTCACGATACAGCTTCAATCTCATAATACAAAATATATGCAACAGACTACAACATCACCATTTCGAGCATAAATTAAATTTAAAAAAAAATCCCACATAGCATACATGAAAGGAAACAACAGCAAAAAATCTCGCAAAATGTACTTATAAATGGCGGGATCCGCGACATCCGTATTGTGATTTCCTTTATCGCGTTGTGATTCCTCAAAAAAAAAGGAAGCGATTAAAAAAAATTATCATATCAGCATGAAACTCGAATGCAAAATAATAAAATAAAAAACTGTTCGCAGGCTCCATACCGGCTTACTACCGGGACGTCTACGAGAAGATAAGCTCGCCGTCGAGCGGCAACGTAGAGAAGGAGGTCTTCAAGTTCCTCCTCGTCAAATCCCAGCTCAGCAGCAACGTCCTCAGTCAGGTAAGCTTGACTTGCTTTTATACATGTATAAATATAATTTTTTATTTATGTAGAGCAAGCGGTGCTCCCATCGACAGCTGATGCAAAAAATAAAACAAACGCTTGCCAATTCGTCTACCGGATAGCAGCGGTGTGCAGAGGTATCATTGCAAGGAGCATCGGGAGAAGGTCGTAAAAGTAAAAAATAAAATTAGAAAAAAAAGGATAAGCGCCAAAAGGAGAGGAAGGAAGGGAATGTATCCCGGATGATCTGCTGGTGATCCAACATGGCGTCGACCGACCTGTCGTTCGGTAAATACATATATTGTGGCCTCCGTGTAAAAGTATACATGCGCATATATACGTGTGGAAGGAAGGGTCTTGCGGGATACATAATATTTGTGCTTCTGTCCATGTACCTGTAAACGTCCTTATGATGGGTACGGTTGGGATGTTGTTGACACCTGTCGCCGATCAGCCGATTTTTTTTTTCATCCGATCCCCCTTTTGTCGGTCGTTTGTCCAATACAATACTTACCGATTGCTACCGATTTTCCCAACATCTTCGGGGGAGATTTATTATCTTTGGAATGAAAATACATGCCACTGCTCTGTATTTTTTTTTTTTTAAATATACTGCGTTATAAATAAATATGACTGTATACGTGCACGCAGATATTTATGTATATGTTTTTGCCTTATCGCCAGCGCTGGGGGGCGTTTTTTGTTTTCAATGTACTCACTGGGGAAATTTTAAGTTTTTTTTTTTTCTTTTCTCATAGCACTGCCCTTTACCATATGCGATTGGGTTGTCATGGTTTAACGAGCCGTAGCAATCTCATATTTTTGAATTAGGTAAAAGGTGACGGTAAACAACGACCTGTCAAAATATTCAACGATATGACAACAATGTCGCAACAGATGAACCCGCATATACTGCACCCGTGTGAGTATCGTCGTTTGTACAAAAAACTCTTTTTATCGCCCGATAAATTTTGTATTTTT